AAGCCCAGACACAGCACATACAGGACTCAAAACCAGGACTGTCCAAGTGAATCCGGGACCGGTGGCAACCCTAGGATTCAACCATTCCACAAAATAATTATCGCTACCTTACTGTATATTCACCCCTTTAACCATGTACAGTATATATCTCCCACATAATTTAGGAGCTACAATGTCCTTGCAGGTTGATTAATGTGGCACACACCATTTGATCACTGCAAGCTTGTGAAGGGAAGCATAGCAGACTTCTAGAGAAAAAAAAAAGCACAGCATTCAATAAGGAGAACCTGTCACCTCCAAATGCTATCACACAGGGGTTTGTTAACTTTATTATTATCACACAGGAGCTAAGTAAAAAAAAAAAAAACAATAAATAAACCTAGCCATTTGTACAGATACCCACAGTGGTGATGTCTCTGATCTCATGGCTTTCATTTTTTAAAGTTTCTCTCAAACAATACCTGAAAAATAAATATTCAAAAAATTATGTCATCAGTAGAACTTTTGGATCTTTAGTCTTAGCATACTATACCCAGGTGGACTTCATGAGGAATTAGAAATAAGTACTCTTCTAATATAATATTCAATACGCATTTAAGTTTGCTTTTGGTTCTACATTTGACAATAATAATCCAATCAATTCTTCACTAAAATTTTGCATTCTAATACTAATGTCAGTTGATTCTCTTTGGTGTGTCTGTCTGTCTCTGTCTGTATGTCGTGTGTGTATGTGTGTATGCATGCATGTATATGTGTGTGTGTATATATATATTCAGTATATACATTGTGTGTGTATATGTATATATTCGGGATGCACCAATATCGATACCAGCATCTTCGATACTTACCCCCGGTACTGGAACTTCCAGTCAGAGGGAGATTTCCACTGACTGGCAGAGCAGCGAGGGAACATGGAGCCGGCTTCCTGGCCAATCAAGAAGCCGGGCAAGGACTTTCGGCCCGGCTTCCTGATTGGCCGGTAAGCTGACACCATGCTGTTTGGCTGGCTCGATGCTGATTGGTTAAAAAGCCGACTTTCCAGCCCGGGCCATCAATAACACCGCTTTATTCCATGTACCTCCAGCAGCCATCAGCTTCCCTGGTTCTCCTCCTTAACCAAGAACAAAGGCCTCCTCCACACTTGAGGCCTAACAGAGCATTTTCCACACTCAAGTATTCCCACCCCCCGGGCCTATGCAGGGGGCAGGTTGGACAGCACTCAGCCCTGACCAGACACTGGGCTATCCCAGAACTGGACTGAGTACATGGCAATTCCCCTGAGTATATAAGCACTTCCCCAGCATGCACCACCGGCAATAAAAGCCCCAGTCATTGGCTGGTGGACTGCACACAAACACTCAGTGTCCCCCATTGGTTGTCTCACACTGCAGCAGAGTCACACTCCACTCAGGCAGGTACAATGAATGCCAGAACACAGAATTAACAAGATAAACCCCAACTATAATTCAGCCAGACTGACTACAGCTCTGGCAATCAATATACGTTTCTAGTAGCCATTTCACAAAAGGTGATGGGTGCTACATATATATTGCATGACAATTATTTTAACAATAGATGTGTTCAATTTATTAAACTTTGAATTGCTCAAAAACAATTCAGAGGGGGGACGTGGCTGGATGGCTTATGTGAGAGGACGGACAGAGGAAAGCTCCTGTCTGCTATCATGATTATATCCTATTCCTCGCCTTGGACTTCAGACCTACTGTAAGAGACTTACCCACAAACTGGTCCCTGCTCAAAGACGCACACGCACATGTGCGCATAATCCTATGCTAAATGTTTTGGGCAAACATACTTTGGCGCATAGACACAGTAGCGTATATGCACAATAGCATTCGTGTGCATGCATGTTAGCGCATTGGCGCATGCTCGTTAGCAGGCATGTTTTGTCTATTTAAACGGATAGAAGCCTTGATTAAGTTGCTGAGTGGTCATCAGCTTGTCCCTGTGTTCTGTTCCTGCATTCCTGGTCTCCTGTATTCGAACCCGGCTCCACCACCTCCTTCTGATTTGGTACATCGACTCTCTGCTCTCCTGTGTATGATCCTGGCTTAGGATTCCTGACCTTGCTCCTGCAGTTAAGAAAAGGCTTCAACAGCTGCATTTTCAATCTATGATCCACCCTGCCCAATTGAAGGTGATTGCTAATGGTGAAACAATCTTTTTTTAAACTCCTGCTTTAGCTTCTAAAACTGGACAGGCAGTGAAGAAAATGATCCAAACGTTTTCCAGACTTGCTATATTTCACAGTGATACAATGGCTGCTTCCTCATCACTTGGTGGTTTTTCAGGAATCCATCTTTCAGCTCTTTGGACTTCTGTTCTGATATACACTGATCAGTCATAACATTATGCCTACTGAGAGGTGAAGTTAACAATATTGATTATCTCATTACAATGGCACATGGAGGTGGGTGATATACAGTATATTAGGCAGCAAGTGAACATTTTGTCCATGAAGTCGATGTGTTGGAAGCACTTTGACAAGGGCCAAATTGTGATGGCTAGATGACTGAGTCAGAGCAACTCCAAAACTGCAGCTCTTGTGGGATGTTTCCAGTCTGCAGTAGTCAAGAACACCAAAAGTGGTCAAAGGAAGGCAAACTGGTGAACCGGCAACAGGGTCATGGGCAGCCGATGCTCATTGGTGCACATTGGGAGCGAATCCAATAGATGAGCTACTTGAGCAAAATGGCATGGTGCCAGATACCGCAGCATACCTTACGATGTCTAGTTAAGTCCCTGCCTTAATGGGTGATGGCTGTTTTGGCTGCAAAAGGGGGACCAATGCAATATTAGCCAGGTGTTTATAATGTTACAGCTAATTGGTGTATGCTTATACTATCAGTTTCGAGATCCCCACATGACATTTATCTTCGTGGTCAAGATCTTTCTCTTCCTTCATTTCCTTCTGCTGCTCCCTAATAGACCTTTTGTTCTGCTAATGACAATCCTCACTCCTCAACACTTTTGTTTTAGGTGACCAACCTCAACATCTCAGGTCCCATGAGATCGCTTTTTGTGATATACCTCCCGAGCTGAGATGGACTGGTTACTCCACGCTCATCCTAGATGCAACTTTTGAAGGCAGCCCTCCCTGCCTTCACTGTTTAAGGGGGTCTCGCACAATCCAAATGGTTATTATACCCGCCAATTTTCTTCCTATGCGGAAAATGTTGTTTGTTATTTTAATGCATTTTGTCTGTTGCCCAAACCATGGCTTCAGTGGGTTCTGATTCTGGACTGTTATTTTGTTCTATGCACTTTTCTTCTTGCAGTCAGGTTTGATACAAGCTGCTTGAAAATGGACATCCTGCAATCCAGTCTGGTACTGCCAGAACATTTGAACAGTGGTTGTTCCTCCCTGCTGGGGAATCTGTCTCCTTGGTTATGTAATGTATTGCTACTTACAATAATATGTCATTAAAACATAATATTGTAGCTTCCTGGAATGTGCGTGGGCTGGGCAATTCTCTGAAACGCCAAGCTCTATTCGATTATATACTAAATCACAAGGCATCCATTATGTGTCTGCAAGAAACTAATTTGACCAGAACCTTCTGAATACAACTTGAAAGGTGTTTTTGCCAACAATAATTTCACTCTTTTCTCACTCTAGAGCAGGGGTAGCCAAACTCCGGCCCTCCAGCTGTGGTGAAACTACGAATCCCATGATGCATCTCTCTCTAGGAGTCATGTCTGTGGCTGTGAGAAACTTGCAATGCCTCATGGGATTTTTAGTTTCACCACAGCTGGAGGGCCGGAGTTTGGCTACCTCTGTTCTAGAGGAATCTCTATTTTGATTCACAAATACATAATTTTTTCCTGAACCAAGGGCTAGAATGGATGATCTTGGTAGATTCATCTTTTTGCATTGCTACATCTATGGGTTCACATGTACATTGGCAAATATCTATATTCCACCCCCTTATTTTGGCGTGGCTTTTAGAGAGTTAGCCAAATTTTGACAAACAAGCTTCCTATCCCTGTCATTGTTGTGGGGGATTTAAAAAAAAAATGTCAACCTATTTTTAGATACATTTCCGGTTAAAGATGCTAGCTCTCACCCACATCTCTTAGTAATTTATGCTCTGAACTGGGTTTCCATGACCTCTGGTGAGCACTTCACCCTGTGGAGCATCAGTATTTATTCCAATCCAAGACACATATTACACTTTCCCACATTGATTTGATGCTGGGAACCTCAGACATCCTACCGTTTATGTCGACTATAGAGATGCAACGTAGGGAGATTTCAGACAATTCCCTAATTGTCACTTCCCTTAGGATAGATCCAAGATGTGCTTCTGGTTAATGGCGGTTAAATCCATTTTGGCTGTCCCTTATCCTCACTTACCTGTATCCATCATTGGTGTTAAACCCATGCACGATCTTACCTATATGCTTCCCCGTGCCAAGAAACACTTAACTAAAATGTGATTCTCCCTATTAATTGCTATGGTACATGAAGCCACACGAGGCCAACAATATGCTCTTTGCTTGACTCCACTTCGAGCCGACTGCGCTCCTTATACACACTCTATTGCTCGCATAATACTGTGAAAGGTCACTGTGGCAGTCTGATGATTATCTTGTTGAGCCAAGCAATTACCCCGTCTCCATACTATGTGCACTGTGATCCATGTATGTATGTATTCTATACCCCAGATTTGTGTTGGGGATGTTGCTCTGCTGTTGAGGTGAATGCCTCCTTACGCCCTTGTACCATGCATACGTACAATAAAGTTGACTTCTGATTTTTTTTTTTAAAAAGAACTCTGAGGAAGACACGAGGGAACAACAAGAAGTGGGACAAGTATGCACAAGGGTTTCTTTACCGTTAGAGCAGTAAAAATATCCAATGCCCTTCTGCGGTTAGCAGTATCAGCAGAAGGCATTGAGAATGTCAAAAAAACCCTTAGATGAGTTTCTCAGTTTACAGAATATACAGGGATATGGAAGTTGTTGGCGACATGTACATACACATAGGTTGAAGTAGATCGACCAGTGTTTTTTATTTAACCTTGCCTACTATGTAACTATGAATACAGATATAAAATCAGTATGCCACAGACATCAACTAAAGGCTTATTTTTGACAATGCTTTCGTTTGTGATCTTTTTACATGCATAAAACTATCACTACAAACATATAGAGATCTGAAATCTAGTGCTGATTCCTTACAATACAGACCCCTATCTCTTGTATTGTAGGCTCTGGTGGCAGTGATTGAACACTATTCCTGGAAATAATGACTCCTCCCAATAAAGATAAATAGGCTTGGTCCATAAGTCTAAACTCCAACCTACTGCCCTGTTAATAACATGCTAGGACTTAAAGTAGAGCTCCAGGCAAATTGCAGTGGGGCAAGGCAAGGGTTAATATTTTTATTTATTTCTTTCAAATTCTTTATCAAAATCACCAATAACAGGCAAGGTAATAAAAGACAATCTCCAGGGGTACATGTATCATACAGTCACACGAAAGGACCAGTAGGCATACAAAGAACATTGCATGAAACCTTAAGCACCCCTAGAAAGAACACTGATAAGTTCGGAAAAAACCTGTGCAGTCATTAGCGAATACGTTTTCTTCTTTTTTAACTCTGACGAGTAGAAGAAAAAACTAAGAAAGGGCTAATATTTGATTTGCCCAGAGTTCTGCTTTAACTTCCCAACATGCATTGCATGTTAAAAAAGCAGAAAACTGGTTTGCTAATGACGGCACAGGTTTTTTTGAACTTATCCGTGTTCTTTCTAGGGGTGCTTCAGGTTTCATGCTATGTTTTTTTGTATGCCTACTGGTCCTTTCGTGTGACTGTATGATACACGTACTCCTGGAGATTGTCTTTTATTAACTTGCCTGGTATTGGTGAATGCGATTTTTTTTAAATTAACCCTTGCCTTGCCCTACTGCCAGGGTTAAGATTTGATTTGCCTGGAGTTCTACTTTAAGTCCTAGCATGGATTTTTACATCACTAGCAAATGTGCATCACAACAATATTCTCCATTTTGGAAATGCAAACTGAAGTGAAAGATGATTTGGAGATCATTTGAAAGGCATTCTTTATTTATGTGAAAACACTTCAATTAGGGAGGTAGACTGTGCAATTTTTATCGATTTTATTAAGCTGTGGATTAGGAATATACCCTGAAGTTCATCTTTAAAGTCCAATTCCGGTTTAGGGAATTAAGATGAAACATTATTATTCAGGCAGCCTGCAACTCCAGCTCCTATTCTCATCTCCTCTTTGCTGAGTCCCGCAGAATCAACTTCTCAGGGATTCAGCATTGCTTGTCTTCCAGGAATGACACCCAGTTGCATTTAACCCACTTCCTGTAAGCCCTGAAATGCCATCAGTTCAACTCCTGCCCTGGACTCGAGGAGATTGCTGTAGAGAGCAGAGTCCTGTAGTTACATAACACCGGTATCTCCAGCTTTTAGCACCCATCCATAGCCAGAGGAAGAAGAGGACCTGTGACCTCTCCCGAACAAAGACCCCAGAAAAAATGTACAGTATGCAGAGAAATTTTATTTTTACAACTGTGGATAAGCTCTAATAGGGTAAGGGGACAAACGAGGAAGAAGGAGGGGTGCTTAGCCTTGAGTTGGGCTTTAATCCAACCAGTGTGCTGATGCTTCATCATATTACTTTCTCTGTTGTGAGGTTTTATCCTATAATGGTAAAATAATATAAAAGCAAAATAGTACTAGAATGTATAAATCACAAATTTCAGCCCACGTAAAATGAGAATTAAAGAAAAATGTAAAGTTACTGCATATTTTAACTAAAAAGAGAACATTGAAGTTGTTTGGGAAATCATTTTATTAATCAACATGGTATGTGTAGTGGAAAATAAAATGGCAGTTATGTTTCATTATAACGATGTTTTCCTGTTTTTGCACTTCTGTCTCCAGGGTATTTTCAATCTAATTTTTCACAGACTGCAGTTATATTACATTTTCCAGCAAAACACTATTCTGTTCCCACCACACCCAGATAAAATGTCTAAATAGGCTTTTAGCATACCACATTTTAAAATTCTGAGCTAAAGGTTTCTGTTCAATATCATTCTCTTCACTATGGACATGCAGAGTGAAGAACAATAATATTGTACATGTACACTGCCATTTAAAGTCACTGTTTAGCTGTACCGCCTAATCTCAATTTACCACCTAAGAGACTAATACAATTGGCATCAGTTTGTTTAAATCTTGCTTGAGTTTAGGCTTTGAGACACAAAATAGAAGTATTGTAATAGAAGTATTGATGAAGATGAGGGCTTGCTGCTGTCCCCAGAGCCAGCAGAAACAGTTTGCCATTAGTTTTATCCCTGTAAGGCAACAGGAGGCTGAAGAGAAATAGGAGGAGGGTTGGGGTGCTGAGGAGGAGGAGGAAATTGGTAGGAAATCTATATGTTTGTGTTCCTATTCACACAGCATAATAAAAAATAAGAATAAAAAAAAATGTCTTAGCTTTTTAGATGTTTTGGTTGCAGTGGGCAACATGGGTGAATCCAGGTTTTTCTGGGCAACTTCACAGTGATCTGTCGTTGTAGAAGACTTAAGTTGGGTACATGCGGTTAGAATTTCGAACAAACTAAATGGATTTCAGAAAGTTCGTTCAACTTTCTAACTGTTAATGCTGTGAAATCGATGATCAATTTCGACCTCAGTGATGAAAAAAATTGAAGGAGCATGTTGGAAAACTTTTCATAATTGAACAAAATTCTAACAATCAATGTGATTTTTGTTCAGAAAACTCCATTAGTTCCAAAACCAAATGTTAAATACAAATCAAATGAAATTTCGAACGACAATAGCCAATCTTTCCGACAGGATTTTTCGTACGAACGTCCTTGCGAAAACCTACCAGTGTATATCCTATATAATAAATATATATATATATATATATCTTAGGGATGTCCTGATACCATTTTTTCAAGGCCAAGTACAAATAAAAGTACTTTCCCTCAGGTACTTGCCGATATCAATTACTGATACTTTTTCTTAAAGGGACATGTGACATTTTTTCTAAAACAATGCAAAGTAAGGATTTTAGGGAAGTTTCTTTATAATTATAAAGAACTGTAACTGAATATATGATTATATGGCAATGGAGAATGGCAACCAGCATTAGAGGACTACAGAGCCCATCAATCCATGATTATACAGCAATTTTACAGGGCTCCGTTTGGGTCTCACCAGGGCTGCGTTTGGGTCTCACCAGGGCTGCGTACAATTTCACCAGGGCTGCGTGTGGGTTTCACCAGGGCTGCATGTGGGTCTCTCCTGGGCTCTGCGGGCAGGTGGCGGCTGAACCGTCTGAATGGGCGGGTGCCAGCCTGATCAAGTGGGTGCCGGGCTTGTGCCAGCTCTAGGCTGTATGTTTGGTGTGGGGCTGTCATGAGATATGCCGATGCCGGGATGGAGGAGGAAACAGGGGCCAGACAGGCACTGTCAAAGATGGCTGTCTGAGTAAAGAGCATGTAACGGCCTTTTGTATCTCGTGAAAATGCCCTGTATCGGTATCATGACATCCCTAATATATATATATATATATATATGATTCTCTCATTAACATACAGTGGAGAAGCCAGTTTTGTAATCCTTTTAATCCCTCACCCCTCACAGCTCCTCCTAACATTTCAAAGAAGGAGAAGCAAGGACAAATTTTAATCCTTAAGAAGCCAAGAAACCCTAACACAAGTAAAAACAATATAAACTGCAAGAAGAATGTTTAAATATTTTGTTTAGCTTATGCTATGTGAATGGAAACATATAACAAATACAAAATAGGTGTTTTGTGCTAATTTGGCTGCAAAAGTGGAAATGCACTTTAAGGAGCAGCAATGGCAGCTTCAGTGCCACTTTTTTTAAAGTAGCCAGGATAGCACAATATGCACTCGAGTTACTGGCCTGGCCCTGCCCTGTTGCGAGTGTGCTCTGAGAACTCCTTCAGCTGAACAGGATAATTTTTAGAGTTGTAATTTTAAAAACAAAGCAGTCATGGATAACCAATGACTATCAAACACTTGATGTCGATGCAACTGCATAACATTTTCAATGTTGGTCCCAGCTGCAGAAAATTTGCAGCATTATGTCTCAAAGTTTGCAGCCTATTCAGGTACTCAGATGCGATACAAATTTTCGGCAGCTCAGTCTAGGCTGCAAAAAGGATAGCTTTTCCTGTGGTTAAACCATTTTTTTTTTTTTCAAAACTTGCGGCTTATTCAGCTGCTCAGGCACTCTAGAGATGGTGATTCATTTTTCCAAAGCCTGATCTTGGCTGCTAAAAGTATGTTTTACTGCAGGGAAACACCAGCGTTGTCCCAAAGTTTGCAGCCTATTCATTTTAACACATAGCTGTCCTGCTGCTGTAAAAAACATTTTAGCTACTGTGTTGTATGCTACACCCTAACTTTTATTTCAAGTTAAAGCCTGCCTAAAATGATGGCCTAATCAAACTGCTTACATACTATGTCACCATATAATATATTTTGGCTATCTTGTCCCAGATGCTACACTCTAATTCTTATTTCATGATTAAACCTTAAGCCTTGTCTCTCCTCTTTTGCAGCCTGTTCAGGTGCCCACACGTTCTCATGCCAATATAAAATTTCTGACTACTGTATCTCAGATGCTACACTTTAACTTTGATTGCCAATTAAAACATGGCTTGTCTATTTGAAGCCTATTCAAGTGCTCACATACTCTCCTGCCTTTGGCCATCTTCCCCTGAAATATACTTGAACTATATTTAGAATATTTTTGGAAGAATTAGGGATGTGGGGATAGTTTGACTTTTTTTTTAACCTTTTAAGACTATGTGGTACTGCAAAAAAAAGAAGCCCACAAACCATACCGTTCACCTACTGGCCCGTTTTTACCTGCTGTGGACTTTGGCTCAATTGTTTTAAGAAGAAAACTTTCTATGGCTGCTTCTGTTACATCCACTGGTCAAAGCAGGCTTATTATCGCCTGATGAAAAATGCATGTGGTGCTGCTAATACTACCTGAAAAATTGAATTCTTTTAAAAACA